GACCTGCCACCTTATTGTGCCTTCTGTGCATCGGCCGCCTTAGTTTAGGGAAGGGGTAGTAGGCAAACTGCAGCTGTTGTGGAACTACAAGTCCCATGAGGCATTTCAAGGCTCTGACGGTCACAGACATGACTCCCTATTTCAAGGCTCTGAGTCACAGACATGACTCCCTAACCCCAAGGGGGATTTGTAGTTCGTTTCAACTGGCGTTTGCCTACCCCTGGTTTAGGGTAACAGGTTTACTTTAAATCTGATGGGGGGCAGAGGTGGGGGGGAATCAGGGCGGCGGGGTACTTGAATACGATTCAGTCTATTTCCATCCTCAGGCTTCCTGCGAGTTCGCTGTGGGAGAGGCAGCCGGAGTGTTCAATGGAAGGAAACCGTCTTGGAGGAAGTCAAGGCTCTCCAGATAAGGATTCTTTAAGTGGACGCAGACTCATTTCCAAGGGTATGGGGGGGGGTTCCTGTTTTTCTCTCAGGACAAAGATGTCTTTCCTGGTAATAACAGATTTCCTGTGTTTTTCTCAATGCCAAAATCCCGTCAATGACCTGACCATCGTATACGGGGAGAGAATGATCCCAAATCTTCCAAAATACATCAACCAAAGTCCAAAAATCCACTGACCTTCCGCCATCATACATCAGACATGGCAAAGGGGTTGGGAGCAGCAGGTGATCAGTGTGGTTGACATTCTTGCCTTGCACTGCTGCGCTCTCGCCCTGTCTGTGCTCATTACTCACGCCGATCGGTGAACGGAGTTCCACTTAAAGTCCGTCCGACCCGATCACTGAAATCTCACGGAACCTTTACCAGGTTAATGTCACTTCAAAAGTCATTTATAATACGTTTAATAATCTGAGGTGATCCTGCCATGAAGGTCCCTATTAAGGCACTTCCTGTTATAGGGTGACAATGTTAGCTCGAATGAGGAGGAACCAGAGAAGGCAAAAATATAAGCAGGTTACATTTCAGATTTAAAGTAGTGTGGTATTATGTGGCAATCCCACGGTAGAACTGGGGGTGGTAGGCACCCAGGACTCTCAGCCAGAGGGGGGCTGAGCAGTTCCAGGAAACAAATTCACTATCACCGTCTTCAAAGTAAATATATTTTGTAACTTTGTAACAATGTTTCTCACTCTGAGATCCCGCCAGTCACATCGCTTC